CCCACCCCCCCGAAGGGGGCGGGGGGTGGCGTTTTTTTTTTTTTTTTCCTGCCCCCCCCCCCGCCGAGTAGCTGATCGAAGGCGTTAGAAAATCCCCCCCCGCCGGCCGCGCCCCAGAAGGGTGGTCATGATGTGGTTACGACATTGACAAACACCTCCTCCCCCCCTCCCTCGTGGGGGGGGGTCTCTCTCTCTCTCTCTCTCTCTCTCTCTCTCTCTCTCTCTCTCTCTCGCTCTTCTCGCTCTCCCTTTTTCTTTTTCTCTCTCGTTCTCTCTACCCCCACCCTGGTTCTTCACTCTTTCATCAAGGCCCTATGGTCGGCCTAGCGTTGGGCATGTTCGGCTCCTTCTTGCTGGGATACATCATCGACGACGCGATGACCGAGATCACGGTGACCGTCATCGTCTGCTTCAGTTCCTTCATCATCTCCGAGGCTACCACGGTACGTGCCGCGGTACATACGGTTCCCCACGGAGAGATGACACGGAAATTTGAATGTGTCTAAGAGTATAGCATGTGCGTTATTCAGGTTGCAGCCTAAATGCCGAATCCCTCCTATTTTCCTCCTTTTCAAGCAACTTCACCGCCGGCCTTCCTCGCTTTCTTGCGCACTTTCTCACTTGAAAACCTCTTGCGTGTGCCACTGCACCGACCCGCACTCCACACCGCTCCCATCGTGCGATGCCGCGTGCTGCTGCGACGTGATGGTCGTGATAATCGCAGCTGCACGTGTCGGGCGTGCTTGCGGCCGTGACGGCGGGGCTGGTGATGTCCTTCTACGCCGGCGGCCGCATCTCCCCCGGAGTGGAGCACTCGATGCACACCTTCTGGTCCATGGCGACGTACGTTGCCAACACGGTCATCTTCTTCGTCAGTGGTCTCATCATCGGCGACCAGGCCATCTTCAACGACACCCTGGGGGTGAGAGAGAGGGGGGGGGGGGCAGGAAAGGGAGGGAAAAGGAGGGAAAAAGGGGAGGGGCCGGAAAGGGAAAAAAAAAAAAAAAAAACCGCCCAAAAGAGAAAAAAATTCCAAAACCAACAAAAAGATTCCAAAACAAACAAAAAGACCGGCAAACCCAACAGAAAGTCCAAAAACCAAAACCGAAAGCGGGGGAAAAAAACAAACAAACAAATTGACCGATTCCGAAAGAGGGAAAAGGGGGGGTAAACCCAAATTATCCAAAAAAGCCCCCCCTGTGGTGGTAAACGGCACCCCCCCCGGCCCCATGTTGCGGTTCTCCCCCCTCTCCCCCCCGTCTGTCGTGAAAATTTAGTTTGTTCCGTTTTTTATTGGTTGGCGTTTTTTCTCCCCCCCCCTGCCTGGCCCCCCGTTTGTACTCTCCTCTTGTAGTACCCTGCTGTAATTTTCCCTCCCCCCACCTGCCTGACCCCCCATTTTTACTTTTCCTCTAACAACCCCAAAATTAATTTAAATTTTTCCTCCTGTTACCCTCCCCTGCTTTATGGT